GATTTCATTGACTAACGGACAAAAACCTGTGGTTCTCTGAACCATTGAGCCTCTTCTCAGATTAGTGCAACTCTTTCTAAAACCTAATCTTCTGGTAAACTTGCATGCTTTCTGAAACTTACTGCCTTTTCTGGTAGTTCGATGAACGATTTCCAACTCAGTTACATATCACTTTTCTGTATTTTATCATTTTCTGCAGCTCGAACTCGTTTTCTCCTTAAACAATCTGCCTCTTTTGAAACTTGTTTAAAATTGCCCTTTCTCTACTAATCTGCAATTCAATGATCTGTCTTCTAGGAACTATTCTACGTCGTTTTGTTAAGTCTGCGGCTTGCCTTTTCTTCAAAACTTTTCTGTCTATTTTTCAAAAGAATCAGTAATCCCACTCGCGTTAATTAAGTGCCTTAATCTCTGACAATTGCATCCGAGTTGCCTAATGCAGACTTTCTGTCTAAATATATGTGTTGAACCAGTCTGCTCGCCGCTTAATTTTTAACTTAAGACCAAATCAGTATATGCTAAGACATGCTAAACTAAGTGTTGTCCGATTTAAGGGGTTTATTTGAGCCTTGTTTGCTTGTTTACTCATCCCTTTATTTGATATTTGTTTTGAATGTCGAAACTAGAATTTTATCCTTTAAACTCCATAAAGGCCCCATCCTTTCTTTCCTCTTAGGATTAGAAGTCCTAATACCCCGGTACTGATAGGTTGGTACGGGTATTAGCATGCAATAAGTAAACGAGACTAAACGCGCTTTAACACCTTAACGGGGTGGGAAGGGTAGAATATGAATAAGATGACCGGTGCGCTAATATCACGTGCGACCCCTCTTCTGAGGAGTGATTGCTGGATATTGCATTGAAGTAATCCATATTAATCAATAAACCTAGGACCCCCTTTCCCTTTACTTGTTAATTTTTTTTAGTTTTCTTTTAAGACTAATTTTCTAAACACTCTATTTCTTCAAATCTTAAGCTTGTTTGCTAAGCTATGTGAATCCCTTTGCTTGTTCTCTTACTTGTCTTCTTAAAGTCACAATTGTAACATGGCCGAGAACCACACTTGTGGATCCTGAGGGGTGCCTAACACCTTCCCCTCGGGATAATTTCTAGCTCTTACCCTAATCTCTGGTCTCTTCATCTCAAACCTTTCTTAAAGTGTCCTAATGCACTATAATCATTAGGTGGCGTCTCTTCAACTTCCAAACCCAATTCTCGAAAGGGAATAGAGTTGTCCTCCCAATGTCGTATACCCGATTTCTGACCCTACGTTAGAGGAAAAGGGGGGCGTCGACACTTCTTTCCACCGCAAGATGGTATTGACTTCATGTCACAAATATCTGTGTGAATTAAGTCTAAAGGATTTGAATTCCTTTCAACTGACTTATAAGGATGTTTAACATACTTAGATTCCACACATATTTGACATTTTGATTTGTCGCATTCAAATTTAGGCAATACTTCCAAGTTAATCATTTTTCGCAAGATTTTATAATTGACATGACCCAAACGTATATGCCATAATTCATTTGACTCAAGTAAGTACGACGAAGCTGAAATTTTATTATTATTCTCAACAACCATTACATTCAGCTTGAAAAGGCCCTCAGTGAGGTAACATTTTCCTATAAACATTTCGTTCTTAGTTATTACAACCTTATCGGAAACAAAAACACACTTAAAACTATTCTTAACAAGAAGTCCATCATAGACTAAATTCTTCATAATCTCGGGAACATGAATGACTTTGTTCAAAGTTACCACCTTGCCAGAAGTCATCTTCAGAAAGATCTTCCCATATCCTTCAATCTTGGCGGTTGCAGCAATTCCCATAGAAAGAGTCCCTTCGGGTCCAACAGGAGCATATGTTGCAAAGGATTCCCTAATAGCACAAACATGGTGAGTGGCTCCAGAATCAATCCACCACTCCTTAGGATTTCCCACCAAGTTGCATTCAAAAAGCATAGCACACAAATCATCAACATCTTCATGCTTTTCAACCATGTTTGCTTGACCCTTCTTCTTGTCTTCTTCAGAGCACGACACTTCGTAGATTTGTGCCCAGCTTTCCCACAGCTGTAGCAATTTTTGTTGAATCGCTTCTTGCTTGGGTTGATTTTTGGTCCAGAAGCCTGCTTCCTTTTTCTCTTATTTTGAGAAGTATCCTTAATAATGTTTGCTCTCATTATTGTTGAGTTTCCATGACCTCTCTTTTCAGCAGCTTTGTTGTCCTCTTCTATTCTCAACCGAACAATAAGATCTTCAAGGGACATCTCCTTGCGTTTGTGTTTCAATTAGTTTTTGAAGTCCTTCCACAAATGAGGCAACTTCTCAATCATCACTGCTACTTGGAATGCTTCATTAATGACAAGACCTTCAATGAAAAATTCTGTTAGTAAAAATACTAAGATTACAACTTTCAACATCAATATTAATTTGATTTATACCTTCAGCAAGGAGATCGTGAATAATCACCTGCATTTCCTAGACTTGGGTAATAACAGACTTGCTATCTACCATTTTGGAGTCCAAAAACTTGGCGGCAACGAATTTCTTCAGCCCGACATCTTTAGTTTTATATTTCTTTTCAAGTGTTGTCCACAATTCTTTTAACGTCTCCACGCCACTGTAGACATTATACAAATCGTATTCCAGTCCGCTGAGAATATAATTCTTGCACAGAAAATCAGAATGCTTCCACACCTCAATCACAAGAAAGCGTTCATTCTCTGGAGTTTCATTAGGCAGAACAGTAACATCTTCCTTGATGAACTTCTGCAGACTTAAAGTAGTCAAGTAGAAGAATATCTTCTGCTGCCACCGCTTGAAATCTAACCGAAAAATTTTTCGGGTTTCTCCGCCGGTGCCAACGCTGGTGTTCGGCTTGTTGATGCATTGACAGTCACCATTGGAACAGTCTGGTTCTCCTTATCATTAGTCATTTCTGTAAAAGAATGACACAAACAAACGTTAAAATCACGTAGATTTTAATCTCCAATGGAGTAAAAAAACACAAAGGTTTTAAACTCCAAAACAATGAATATAACACAAATACAGAATACAAATTAAATTTCTTAAGCTTGTTAGTAAACTGTATTTGTAAACTAATTCTGGAAAAGATAAAACAACATAAACAGAAATATAAACGAAACAGAAGTTAATCTGAGCTCACTGAAATCTCGGTGTTTCCTTACAAAAATTAATCCCCTCCTAGTACCCAAGGTTATGGATTATTTCCTCCCAGGATAGAACGAATTACACATTGGTGTAGTGGAACTTCAAACCCTAGTGTTTCAGCGAACACAAAGTTCGGTAGCAAATCACACTTACTGTTGCTTTCTGTGAAGTTAAAACAATGCAGAAGAAGGAGGAGAAACTAAGAAAATTGTATGGAAATTCTGAGAGAATGGACTTGTATTTATAGCCAATGTTGGGCTGAAATCTGAAGAGGTTCAACTCTTCAGAATAGGGGTGTTCGTTGGTCGGTACGGTACGGTATTTAGATATTTCGGTTCGGTATTCGGTTTCTTAAAATCTTGTACCAATACCGTACCTAATTAAATTCGTTATGGTTTAGTTTTTCTCCTTTCAATTTTGGTTTATTCGGTTCAGCAACTTCGGTTTATTCGGTTTGAATACTAACTAGTGCATAAAGCCATAGACTCTAATATTCTTAATTAAAGTACTCAAAAATACAAAACTGAAAATATTTGTTGACAAAAATTTTGTCCAAAACTAGAAAATATCAACCAAATAGAGAAAATTGTATATAAAAGAATATTTGGTCATTAGAAATATCTTGTTACTTGTTTAGAGTTACTTGATGAACTTAGAGAATAAAGGAAAGTAAAATTTTAGATTTTTTATATTTATGTTATAATTGATATATGTGTTTTGTGTAATATAATATATATTTTGGTACGGTATCGGTATTTCGGTATTTTATTTTAAAATACCAAATACCATACCTAATACCAATATTTTAAAAAACTTAAACCAAATACCATACCAAATACCAAAATTTTCGATTTCGGTATGGTAATTCGGTGTTTACCAAATTATGCATAGCCCTACTTCAGAATGGTTGTTTATGCAAAATGGCCATAACATAAATGGCTATTTACCCAACAATAAAGAGGGAAAATTGAAGAGGGTAGTTAATTTTCTGTTACAAAAACAGAAAACGGAAAATTGGAAATAGTTGGATTTTAATAGTAATATTCTTGGATTTAATATTAATATTTTGTTATTAAAACGGATATTTAATAACATTTCTGTTAATATTTACTATTAACAAACAAATTTGGTTTAAAAAATTAATCAATCAATTGACCAAAGCCGAAGCCGAGCGAGCGACGACGACGGCGCGAGGCTTGCCTTCTTCTCAACTCTTTTAGAGTTAGAAGAAGAGCAATTGCTTATATATCCATTACAAACCTCTTCCTCTTCCTCTTCCAATATGGGACAATGTCCCTTCATCAAAGAGGGAATCTCAAATGAAACTCAAATATTTCATTTTCCCTCCATTTCCCATTCACCCTCTTTTAAGCATTAATATACTTAAAACCCCAAAAATCCCCACATGAATGGGGAATGGCTATATCACGAAAATATGGATGAAAAATTGTGTGATTCGCAAGCAAGGATTAATTGCATCTGGATAAGTAGGTTTCCCTTTGAACTTTCGGTAGTAAACTTATGTCGGATATACTCGGTCAATCGGTAGATTTGATATCATTGAACCGTCGAACTTTGGTGTATACCTAGACAACTATAAGTCACACAACCAACTCTTAACCGTCTTTGATTCTCATTGTTGTGTTCGTTTCAGCAATGAACACCACCTGGTTTCATAAGTGCACAGAGAACTATGATATATGTATATATATTTTCTGTATATGTATGTAATTACAAAATTGTTCCTTTACAGCAAGGTTTTTCATCATAAGCATATCCTACAATATTCGGATGCTTATGCAATAATACAAGACAATATATACTCATTGGCAAGAGACAACATTCAGGAGTGTGCTCCTTGATCTGATCAACCACCTAAAGATGTTGTCCATGCCATCCTCAATGCATTCAAAATGAGCTTCCAGATTTTCCACTTTGCTCTGTACAAACTGTATCTTTTCCACTTCATTAGAACCATACTTGAAAAGGCTGTTTAATGCAACATCAGCACTTTCTATCTCATTTACATTGTCTTGATCTCCCTTGTTCACCAATCTTGAAACCAAAGACCATTTGCTTATTGGCTTAGAAACTGGAGCTGACAAGAAAACCAACACATTTTGGAATACTGAAATTCCCATTGTACTAACTTCTCTTAGCACTCTTATAACAGCTGAGACAAGTTGATCAGCTTCCATTACAGCAACCACCTCCTCATGCTCCATTTTCTTTAAAATTGTAACTAAGTTTTTGGCATCTTTCTTCATCTTCTTCCTAAACGAAGTGTAGTTAGTGATGCTCAAATCTCCTTTTCTCCTTCTCAGTAAGGACTGAACATCTTTAACATTTTCTTTAAACTGTGACACCAGCTCCCTTGTTGCCTCACATATATCAAGAAATCTCATAAATTTATCCAAGATTTCATCGACCCATTTTTTATCTTGGCATTTGGAAAGGGCTTGAAGAGTCAGGGGCAAGTTGAGAAGATCACTCATGTACCTATGCACCTCTCCCAAACTAAGTAAACCATTGTAAACAGCTTCTGCAGTTGGTGAGGCTGAGAATTCCCAAGTCTTGAACTTGTTGAACTCCTCTTCAATTTTCTCAGTTGCTGGATGTGATCTGCTTGGCAAACTGATGGATCTGTTATTTGCAGAATAACTTGCCATTTCTTTCCTCTGTTTTTTTCTTCCTTTTTATTTGGTATATATTCGAAGTTTGGGATGATAAAAAAGCTTCAAAACTCATCTTATTTATACCAAGATTCTACAGAAAGCGACAAGATGCAGATAATTCTGCTAAGATAGCGTTGAGATTGCCATGTGCCGAGAGAGTGGGCATTCCCTAAGAGTTCGGTGAGCTTGTTGTGCTTCAAAAACAAAACTTTAATCAATATTATTGATTTTTTAATGTTTTTGTCTTTCGAAAGTTGCCACTTTGCGTTACCTTATTGCTAGTTAGTGATGAAAGATGTCTCAGCAAATACGTGGCTTGTTACTAGTATTGTCTTTGTTGGGGGAGCCATAGTTTGTCGATCGTACAGCAAAGCGCCATTATTAAATTGTGATGAAGATCTTTTAATGGAGATTTTGATACCTCTTTTTCAAAAAGAAATTCCTAAATTCAGCGGAAAGAGTAACACGAGTGCAACTGAGGTAAAGTGATATTTTAAATTTGTACACGTAGGGCTTGTTGGCTATCTTCCTCACTTAACACCCCCTCCCAAAATAGTTTTTTCTCAACTTGAGTTGTTTGGCAAAATATTTTTGGGAAACTTTTTTTTTTAAAAAAAAAAGAATTAGAAGCACCTTTTGAGAATCAGAATGGATTCTAATCCATTTCAATGGAAAATTACGACTCTTCATCTCATGATATACATATCATCTTTGTGAAAATATGACACATGTATTTTTTTTGATTTACCCATAGCATTATTTATTCATTTCAATATTTTTCAAATCCATTAAAACTATACGAATTAATTAATATGCGTATCATGATAAATTATGTATTTTATTTATTATTTTTTAAAGAATGTACAAATTAAATAGTGAAATAGTAGAAATGAACCGAGCAATTATTTTCCTTCTTGACGAGACAAGGACACTCTAGCTGATGGTGGACTAAAAATTATTTCATCATCCCACGTGTAAATTCTAGGCTCCCTCCTTCCGGGCATTGCGCCAATACAACCACTTTCCTCCATTATATATTTATACTAGGAAATTTGCCCCGTTTCGCGGTTACAAATAACAGAAATGTATATTTAGAATTAATTTTTTATAAATTTTGTTGAGATAAAGACAATTTTATAAGTATATATGCATAAAAATCAATTATATATTGTGCATTACAAATTTCTATTTTAGTTCTCAATCCTCCACAGAATTCCAAAAGTTTTGTTTCTTTCTATTTTAATATTCCTTGAACTCGTCTTATAAATAGAATGTTTCTACCGTGCTTCTTATACAGGAGAAAAAGGTAATTCCATAACTTACTGAAATAAGGACAAACAAAGCATTTCAAATTGATCTTCTTGCCTACAGTAAGTTCTCTCTTTTTCCATGATACCAATTTAATTGTGTTACCCTTTAAGCATCAAGAATTTAAAGTTAAAAACTTTTAACCAACACTCAGCTTTTGCATTCACATAAGAAGAAGAAAGGAGCATCAAGAATCTAAAGTTAATTTTTTTTTTAACTATTCAGAGACTGGTGAAACATCCCCAATAACCAACAAAACTAAGATTTGTAGAGTCTCATAAAAGGAAATAAATTTAAAGTTCAAAACTTCAAACTATTTCAGTAACGGAACAATAGAAGAGTAACAGTGACCATTGCGTCTCTTAGTAACGGAACAGAACCATTTCTTGAAAAGGCTTTCTTCCCTCAAGATTATATTGTGCCGCTGCTAAATTTAATGTCCAACTTAGAAAGTTCATCTTCAGCCTCTAACCAAAAGTGAAGGACAACTTTTATGTTTTTTGCATCTTTGTCACTTATTACTATCATGCCTTCTGATAAGAATTGTAGTCAAAATATGGAAGCCATACTCTGAAAAGCTGATTTGACACAAGTGAATGGTGGATACTGTAAAGAAACTCGATCGAACTCAAGAGCCATTG